TCTATCCTTTCAGCACTGGGCCATCTCACTAGTGACACTGGGCTTTTTTCAGTTCATGAGTGTTTCTGCTCTATAGTCCCCAAGCATTCTATGGAGTGAATGCCTGGTGTCACACACAGAGGGGCACCTTTGCTCAAACCCTGCCCAGGGAGGACGAGGACAGCAGCCACAGATCATGGCCTGGGTCCCAGGGTTACTGGACTAGTTGCCTGGGCTTTTAACCATGTTCTGGCCTGCTGCTGTGTCTTCCCCTCTGAAAATACATTACAGCTTTTGGAGAAGTGACCCAAGGTTCCCTCTGAGCCCTGGGACACTGGGAACTAGGCAGGACACAGTACTTTTTGCTGTTTGGTGGCATCAGGGTGGAGCAGACTAACAGAAGACCTAGGCCAAGGGAAGTCAGGAAACAAAACAAAAGCAAGAGGGTGGCCATGCACAGTGTGGCCACGCACACCTGTAATCTTAGCTTCTGTGGGGTAGGGGCAGGAGGAACATAAATTCAAGGTCAACCTGGGCAACTCAGTAAGGCTCTGTCTCAAAATAAGAAAACACGGGCCAGTAATACAGCTCCCTGGGTAAAAGTGCTTCCTGCACCTGCCTGATGAGCTGAGTTCTATGTCAGAAACCATAGTGGAAGGAGAAAACTGACGCCTGAAAGTGATTCTCTGTCTTCCACCTGCATGCCACTGCACACAGTGATAATAAAACAACAAAGAGCACGTGAACAAAGCCCTCCAAACAGCAGAGAGAGGCTAAAGGGCCATTCCCATTGTGTGAGGGACAGGTGATCCCGGGGAGAAGGAACAGATGGTTATTTACTCTGCTTCAACAGTTACTCGGTGTAGACTTCAAGTCCCTGTGTTGAATCTTATTCCAGGCATTCTGGTGACAGGACACACTGGCTGGCTGGAGTCTTCCAAGAGTGAGCGTTGTGAAACACTGCAAACACCCCTCCCCCCTGTCCTGAGTTTCAGCTTCCTCACCTGTAAAGTGACAGGGACCACCTAACACACGCCTAGGAGAGGCCTGGCATGATTGCGATGCTGTCTTCATCACTGTCCGCCGACAAGGTGAGTCTTGCTGGAGCTGGGTGGGATGTGCTAGCTACAGGACTGTCAGTCTTCGTGAGGTGGCCTACCTACAGAGATCATCTCAGTTGAGCTTGTTGACTGCTGAGCTTCCCTCACAGGAGGGGAAGCTGGGGGGCATGCCACTGGACCCCCCTGTGCATCCCGCCACCCCTCCCAAGCAGTTGTATGTAATCCTGTCCTAACTGCAGGTTGCCTCAGGGTCTCGGGGAAGGGCTAGTGTACACAGGCTGAGGAGACTAGGCAAAGGGGAAGTCTGTGTAGCCATAGGGAAGTCACCCATCTCATTTCTGCTGAGAATGCTTTGGGTTTCCCCACGTCCCCCTTTGTAAACCCCTCACTCAGGCTCTGTGAGTAGGCTTAATAAACTCATTGGTTCCCTGGGGGACCTTTGGTGGAATCAAACTTTGGTTTGTCACTGGTACTTTAGCGAGGGTGAGTAGTTGTTGCCTAGTCTGTGCCCCTTCCACCACCACCCTGGGCAAAAATGCTTGATACATGTGAAGATCTTCGAAGTAACCTTGAATTGAAACATTTTCCATCCAGCGAAAGTATCATTTTCTGTTACTGACGTGGATAATGTACACAGAGGTTTATTTAGTTGACTTAAAAAAATGTTGTGTATATGGGTGTATATGCATGTCTTTGTGCAGTCCCATGGATGCCAGAAGAGGGAGCAGATCCCTGGTGGGTGTGACCACGCTGTGGTTGCTGGGAATCAAACTCATCTTTTGAATAGGAAGTGCTCTTAACTGCGGATCCATCTTCCCAGCACTAATCAGCTGCTTTTCATTGTGTTTTGTGGTGAAGTTTGAGGCTTCACATGCCAGGTAAGTGTTCTGTCTGGCTTCAGACCCAACTTTCAAGTTCTTATAGTCTTGAAACAGGGTCTCACTGAGGCTGACCTTGAATTTGCTCTGTAGTCTAGGCAGCCCTAGAATTAAAATTTCTCCTGTCTCAGTTTCTTTAACAGCTGGGATCACAAGCCTGTGCCACTAAGCCTGGCTTAGTCAGCTGCTGCTGGAGATTCAGGGGCCTAGCACTTGATGGCTGACGGTTGGAGCATGTGAGAGGAGTCTGCTGTGAGAGGCTGAGGCAGGAAGACGCCAGGCTTGACTACAGAACAGCCCAGCCCTCTGGAGAGAACCCAGTCGTTCCCTCAATCTTTGCCAGGACTGCCACACTGAGAGCCAAGCTCCCAGCATGTGAATGTCCAGGACAAGCCATAGCAAGACCTCAGCAGGAGGGATTTAATGACTCCCACAGCTCTGTGTCCTGTCAGTAACATTGACCTGGTGTGTACTCCTCTCCAGGTCACAGGCCACCACCAGCTTCCAACTGGAGGAACCTTCAGACACGTGGGCTGGGGTGGGGGTAGTGACATCGATGGAGGGACCAACATCTCAGTTCCCTGAGCACACCAGGACTACAGGGGCCTGCAGTGTCTGAGGCAGAGGCATTCTAGAAAGAACAGGCTGAAAAGCAGCTCGCCTCAAGTCTAGTCAGGTCCTTATTCGCCGGTACTTATTTATTCATTTGACACAGTGTTTCACTATGTTGCCTTGGCTGGACCTGGAACTCATGAAGACCTAGCTGGCTGAAGTCAGAGGTCCTGCTGCCTCTGCCTCCTAAGTGCTGGGACTAAAGGTCGAGTGTTACCATGCCCACTAAGGCAGCATCCTTGCTGCCTGTGGCAAGTTTTGTCCCTGAGTGGGAGACAGGTACAGATGTGTTGCAATCCCCAGGATCCAGCAGACCTAAAGCACAGCTGTGGGGTGGCCAGCCTCCGTAGCTCCCAAAGTCAAACCAGCTCTGCAGTGGGCCTGGGCACCATGCGTGAGCGATGATGTCTTTATTAGACTCAAATGCTGCAGTACAGGACAGTACAGAGTGGTACACAGTTGTGCTTCCATACTTTAAACACTGAGATTGAGAATTTCAAGATAACAAGTTTCAAAACAGACTAGCTTTTTTTTTTTAAATATCCTTTTGAGAAATTATTTATATAAATAACATAAAGGAAACCCCACATGTTTGACAACCAAGGTCCTGAAGCA